AATATTGACTGAAAAAAATGTGTATTTCTCATACATGAAACAACAGAAATTTTATAGGTTGCTGAATGAGGAAAATAGATTAAAAGAATAAAAAATGATTTTTAGATGCAAAACTATTAATTTATTACATTTAGAATTTATTTACATTTAACATTTACAATTTTTCTCTAATTCTTTACTTTTTGCTTCATTCTTGTTGGTTTTGTCTGACTAAAACATTGTTTGACCCAGTAAAAGCGGTTCTGAAGCCGCCCCCTTTCTTCTCCTCCCCTCTCCCTGCAGACCAGCAGCTCAATCGCGTCCAAGGCCGCACGCACGCACGCACACACATATAATTTCTAACAAACCAAAATGCATGAAGGTCAGACCCCGCCCCTCCCAAAAAGACTGTTTTGTAAAACTTTGTGTATGCTCAAGCTGAGGCTAGCATCCTCAAGCCAGAAGGAATATGAAGTCCCTRTGACAATTTCTGGGTCTTCCCCAACAAAGATGTGCCCAAAAACATCTAAAACAAAGGCCGTTGTATGGCATCCTGACCAAATTTTCATAGCACTTCAGCWGTCTCATTTTGACATGGAGGACAATAACACTGAACCTAACCACTCTATGAGGAAACTCCCTTCAGCTGCTTGTATCAAGAGTGGTTTTTAGGTCATAATCCACACCTCATGACCATGAGTGAGGGTTAGATGTTGTAARTGTTGTCACTTTTCTGATGGTACCTTTCAGGTTCTCCTTCATTACAACAGGCTGTAGCAGCATCCTTATTACTGCTAATTAAGTCCCATTCTGTCTGTCTATCTTTCACTTCATGAACAAGACACTGAGGTACCRAAACTCCTCAGTTTGAGACTCTCTTCCAACCCAGAATGAGCATTCTACCCTTTTTTGGGTTTGAGAACCATGGCCTCAGATTTAAAGAAGCCGTCTCTCATTGTGGCCACTTTCCACTTGATGATGGATTTAGGACGTCAACAAAACAACACGTGAAAGCAAAGATGAGATTCTCAGGTTCTCTAACTTGACCTTTTGTACTGAGAATACAAAAAATGTTCTTACTGAGTTTTGGGGTGAAATATAATCTAGTCTATTGGTGAAATACTGTATATAAACTGAACCAACAATTACACTTACAGTAGTTATTCTTATACAATTATTACTTCAGCCGACAGACAGGAAAATCATCAGAAGCAACTTCTTCTATAAGTGAAGTTAATGGAAAAAATCTGTTCTGGCTTCAGTCACAACAATTTTTATGATTTTGATATCGAAACAATTCACTCACTCCTAGAGTAAATTTAGTAACTACCCAGTAATTAACCCAACATGCACTGCATAGAAGAAACAAACTTTTCATTTATATTCCAGTTCAGACGGAATAAAGCAAACTGAATATACATTAATTTATGCATTTTTCTGTTGATAGGAATTCATTCTTTGTTTGGCACAAAATATTTGAAATTAAAATGTCACCTGAGCGTATAAATTTTAATATTTTGCACAACATTCATACTTCAAGAAAAATAGAAAATAATTAGGCTTGTGTGTAGTTTTAGGGTTTTTGAGCAATGGATTTCATAAAGCTGTATTGTATCTTATTGACCCAAAAGTGCATTATTACTGCAATTTATTTGCTTTGGTTTGTTCCAGTCGTTYGTTTTTGTTGAATAATTAATGTCTGACAATTTTCATTAGCTTAAAAAGTCACCTCCCAGGGTTTTCCAGTCCATTTAAATCGAGAGTCACCTCCAAACTCACAGTAAGCACTGTTACGCCACTTATGACAGAAAGACAGACAGACGGACAAACTCCCACCTGGCACATTCGACGTGACACAAATTCATTACCAAATTATCCCTGCCCTCTTAATGAATTAGGGGAGAGAATCAAGTGCTCAATTAAATGATTAGACTCTAAGCTGCGGAAAAGTCTTTGCAAATTCCAGTCAAAGCCTGAGCATTAGAAGCAATCTACCTCGAACAGACRTGACCATTGTTCCTTATCAGAAAACTGAGTGTTAGCATTTTCCTATCAGCTAAGAGCTGGTACTGCATATGTTTCTATTCCTTCGTCTCTTTCTGTCGCTCTTTCACTTCCTCTCATCATAATTGTTGGAGCTGCTCTTTGTACACCATCTTCTCTTTTTCATTTGTCATTTTTTCCTTTCTAAACTCCCTTCTTCTTCCCCCTTCTCTCATTTGGTCCTTTGCTCTGTTTTTTTTCCCACCTCCCCCTCCAGGTAGCCAGGGAGAAGGAGAGCTTACAGCTCCAGCTGAAGGCGCTGAGCCAGCAGACTGAGGCGGCCCACAGGGAGCTCACTGAAATCCTAGGCCGTTTGGCCCAGCACAAAGAAGAGCTCCACCGCAAGGACGTGGAGCTGCTGGAGGCTCAGCAGCYTCAGTTGTCACTGCAGCAGGAAGTCCAGGAGGTGTGTAGCTGTACATCCAGAAATAGATTCGTTTTTTCAGTCACAAGGGACTCAAAACACCCATCAATACTTTAAAAATAGTTCAGCTGAGAACAGACCAGGTCAGCTTTTCATTGTAGAGTTTGTCTCTAGAAGTCTTTGTTCAGTTTGTTTGATCAGAATATTTGCAAGAGTAATTTATATCATTTTCCTTTAAATAAAATACCCCAAAACTATTGTCTTCAACTTCAAGTGATTCAGGAGTTGATAAATCTCTAACAAGAATTCTGACCTTAGGTGAGGGAGACCTCAGCCACTCTGGAGCAGGAGACTCAGCGTCAGGCCGCCYTCCAAGCAAGACTAAGAGAAGAGAACCAGAGGTTAAAAGAACAAGTCGACGCCCAGACCCATCGCTGRCAGAGAGATCAGGACACACAGGCCGAGCTCCAGGCCACCCTTAAGCAGATGACCGCAGCACATGCTCAGCTAACTCAGCGGCTGGCTGAAGAGGAGAGTGCCAAGAAGGAGCTGCAGAAGGGCACCTCAGAGCTTAGAGCCAAGCTGACTGTGCTGCAGGAGGAGTGGTCCGCACTCAGCCAGCAACTGACGCTTGAGCGAGAGGTGCACCAGAAGGAACTGAAAAACATGAAGGACACAAACGAAGACAGCCGGGTGAAGAAGGATCGKGAAGTGCAGGAAATTATCAAAGTTTGCCGTCTGGAGCGAGATGAAATAAAAGCGCAACTGATAGATGTTAAGGTAAGAAATTTAATAATATAGCAGTAAACATGTGAATAAAATTAGCATATGGTTAGCTTAGCTAAGAAACAATGAATGAAATTAAATAATTAACAAAGATCCTGACCAGGATTAGCCGCTTCAGTCCATTCTTGCTTTCCACAAATAAAAAGTAAAATATAATGTAATCCTTGAAGATCACTACTTTATAAGATGTAAATCATCTGTTCTCGCTCATGTGGTTGTGAGACGTTCTTTATCTCAAGGACATTTTATAGTTCAAACAAAAACTACAGCAGAGAACTGGTAAACCTTCCCACTGCTGCATGTCACGCACAAATAACAACTCATAAAATATAAGCTACCATATTTATTCGTGTATAATACGATCTCATGTATAATATGACCCCCCTCCCCCTTTTTTGAGCTTAAAAAGCAAAAAAAATTGAATCCTCAAACTACCTCCAATTTCTTACAGACTTAAAAATTTTTCAGCCTTTGCCGTCTTTATACATACTGTATCAGTAAAATGATCATTGGACAATTCATTTTATTTTAACAACATATGTACTAAAAGGTATTTTGACAACAAATATATATCAGCAAACTATGATTTTGAGCATCATATGAATTCTGGCATTTTACACATAGTCCACCAGGATGCGCCAACATAAAAGTCAGACACCACATGAGATTTGGGCCATCTTCAAGCAGATACAAGCAGATAACTTCCTACTTCCGAGCGCCCCCTCTGGTGGGGAAACCTTTGTCAGGGTTACAAACTTTTTTAGAGCACCGGTAGACGGCAGCCAGCCATTACAGATGGACATGTGTGTTTGTTGTTGTTCCAGCAGCGGCTCGGTCACACGCTAATGTCATTAGTTTATCATTACTGAGCTGCAGGACTGCTCCCCCACCCTTTTTTTCCACATCATGTCGCCTGCTTGGATCTGTTCGCTCTGCAGCATGGAGGTCTGTCACAGGTGAGCTCGTTTCAACTGCTTTTTACGATGCGGTCTCATTTCCGGACTCAATAATTTTGCCGATATTTCAGTTAAAATACATTAGTAAAAATATTTATCCGAGTATAATACTACCCTCCAACTTTATGGATGATCTTATGGATTAAATTTTACGTATTATACACAAATAAATATGTAAAAAAAAACAACAACAAAACATTTGCAAGTTTGTTCCAAAGAAACTGCCACTGTTTCCAAAAGACTGTGCACAATAGCGAATGAACATATAAGGAATGTGTCACTATGTTGCTCGGCCGAGGCATATTCAGCCACAATGAGCCCTCCTGTGTCTCCACACTGTCTCCCCCTTGCACAAAAATTATGCTTTCTCCGTCTTTCTTTGTAATATGAGCTCTTTGTTTTTACAAGTTTCACTGGAACAATTGGAAAGATGGCTGTATTTTCTAACAGCCTTTGCCAGCTGATCCTCAACAGAACAGTTAAAGGAAAACGAAAGCAATGCAATTCACCTGGTTTTCCACGTTTAAACACGCCCACAGAGTTCTGACCAATCACACAATACTTGGCACACACCACGTGAGAAAAAAGTTTTGCCAGGAGCTTGTGCAGAGAACAGATTTTCAGAGGCCAATCGAAAACAAAAAGACAAAATTTTTGTTCTGCAACTGTGTCAATGAGTACAAATATCTTGATGTTTTGCAGAATATCAAGCGTAGAGATCAAGCCWTTTTAAGATCCAGTTCCCTGGCACAAAGAGAGTAACATTGTGTATGCTGTTAAGTGTCAGGAGGACTGTGATCAGTCAACCCATTCTCACTCCGACTCATCACAGTATTGATGCTTGGTCAGGTAGCCATCTGCGTCCAGCTTCGGACATGTTGGGTACCCCCCTCACGTCCGTTCTTAACAAGATGATGAGGAGGAGCGCGTTGTCATATTTTTTTGAAAAGAGTAGGAAATGCACCACAACTAACTGTCCCAGACCCTAAATTTAACTTCTATTAACCACATACAGCCTATCCCCGACCTCAGTACCTAAAATTAACCATCCCTGATCCCTCATATTAACCACAGACCCCCAACCCAAAGACCCCTAAGTGGTGCAACCCAGGAAAAGCTGCGAGCGGCAATAACTGACTCAAGAGGAGTACCAGACCCATTAAAACTGGACGCAGACGGTACCTGAACAAGCGTCAATATGTTGATGAGTCGGGAGTGAGAACGTGTCGTATCAGATATACATCGGGGAAACAAAGCAGCCACTGTTRAAAAGAATGAGCCAGCACAGACGAGCTACATCATCAGGTCAGGAGTCTGCAGTTTACACTCATCTACAGACCAGCGGTCACTTTTTCAGGGATGAAGATGTTCTCGTCCTTGATAGAGAGGAACGTTGGTTTGAGAGAGGAGTAAAGGAAGCCATTTTTTGTGAAGAAAAACCATCCACCATTAAACATAAGTGGAGGCCTTCGTGTCCAGTTGTCCCCCTCCAAAAATCCTGTTATTGCAAGTATGACTCAGCCCCCTGWGAGCAAAAGGTGTGAATCAGGGCAGCAACGATAGTCAGGTGATGGTACACATGACCCTCTATGAACAATAGAGACAATCAAGACACTAATGACCTATTGTTTGGCTGATGGTCCTCTTTRGCATGTGACTAACCTGTTTGTCCACCATGTGGAGGCAGTGCTTATAAGGCTGAGTTCACCTGAAACCCATCAGACTGAAGAAGTCTCTTGGAGGAGAGACAACGTTTCAAGAACCTGTCCAGAGGACTGACTGATCTATCTATCTACAGTGGTTTGCAAAAGTATTCATACCCCTTGAACTTTTCCATATTTTGTCACATTACAACCACAAA